GCTCTGGTACTCTCTTCGGTCCCAAGCTAATCGATTCACCCCTCGAAACATAAGAATAACCAATAACCCCTCATTTTATCTGTCAAACTTTCATAGCGAATCAAAACAAACATTGCGTAGTACTAGAATTTCGAGTAGAATGGGGTACGTTAATCGTTTGCTTGGGACCAATAGGCTAGTCAAGTAGTGAGCCAATTTAAAATCGTTAGTTTCGTATTGATTGTTGATAATACCTGGTCATTCTGAAGTCTAACGAAAATATTCAGAGGACTTCATTGAGATCTTTGATATCCTGAAGGTTTTTGAAATAATTTATGAGCACCCGTAAAAAAAAGAACGATATAGGTACAATGAAATGTATTGTAACCATACAATAGAATTTATTGTACTTAAAATAAATTGTATCGTACACAACTATAAAATAACCATAGAATTTATTGTTTTCACAATATAATCTATGGTAAATTGAGAAATCTACAATAGAACAAGGGGGTTGTTATGTATCTTAACCATACAAAAAATCACTTTTTCCCGAACAAACTTGAGTCATTTACCATTCATTTTATTGTTTTTCTATTGTTGAAAATTCATACTATATGGGACGTATTGTACATCTAATGTAATAACAATATGTTAAAATTTCTTGCACAATATACGCACAATAAGATCGATTGTTGGCAATAGATTTGGATGTAATTGTATTTTATTTTATGGTAATTGTATGGTTATTTTTTTCCGGGCAACCTGGTATCATAGAAAAAAATATCTTAGGAGTGTGACTTGAATTGTTGGACAGTACAAGGTATTCAAAATAATTCCAGGTCATCCTGATGTCTTGAGAAAATATTCAGAGGACTTTTTTAAGATCTTTGATCTCCGCCATGGAAGGTGGTGTCCCCCGTCCGGTAGGGATGCCCCGACGACCGAAAGGAAGGAATCAAATATTGAAAAACAAACCAGCATCCTTCAGGAAGGAGATCAGGGTAGCCAGGATCGAAGGTTCGTCGCCCAGTATGTCGCCGATATTCCTCGAAAGGCCGTAGTGTTGCCGCACGAGCTCGTACTTTTGGCACACGCAGAGGATATGCTCGACGGTGGCTGGAATATTACAGACGACGCAGGTCTTGCGGAAAACTCCTCCGCCGAAATCGTGTGAGAGATGTGACCTGTGCGAAGCCTGGAGATGACTCGTTGCTCCTTCAGGTTCCCAAGGTCCTTCCATGGACGCGTGCTCTCCCTGAATCCAAGGATGAGTGGACAGAAAAAAAACAAAGCATTGTGGTGGTAGGCTCAAGCTCGTTGGCGAGATCTTTCCCGCAATGCCTATCCCAACTCCCTTGTGCAATTTCGACCCGTCCGTAAAACGGTGCGTTAGCCTGGGGTACCCGGAGTTTAGCATCTCCGCGACGGAATGTCTGAGCGCCACCTAGTTGTCTCCTGCCCTAAACTGGTCCTTAATTCGACTTTCGATGTTTAAGGTGGTTCGCTGTGAGATCCTTATTTTCGCTACCACTTCGAAACTTTAAGTGCACAAATATCAGCTTCCACGACACGTACTATAATGAAACTGTTACTCCACGTTTGCTGCGCTGCAGCATACATGCAGTAGCAATTTCAGGTGAAATGGAACTCTAATTTCCGAGATGTGTGTAATTGAAAATTCTAGGTGGAAATGCATTTATAGCCTACGTGGTGGCCATTTGTGGACTCTACAAGGAATCACCTTAACGGTCTCGATTGCCAACATTTTCCTCCCAGCCAGTCGCTCTCTTGGCTATTGGGGAGAGGTCGGTATTGGATGTACGGAGGATTCTGTTCCCCTCGTCGAGGAGATAGATCCATTCGTTACCCGATGCTTTTGCCAAGTAGGCAGCCGCTTTGATGGCGACTGCGGTGTCGATTCGAAACCGGAAAGGAAGTACTCCGACTTCAGCGCAGGCTTCGAGGGCAGGAGACCTGAAACTACCCGGATGTACGCGTTATAAACCGGTGTAAGGACTTGCAACAGTTTGTCCTTGGCCATTGCGGTGAGCTCCAGACCGTAGAGTAGACGGCTGTCAATAACTGCCTTGGTTACATGCAGCCGGATAGCTCGGTTGTTGGTGCGGTGCTGGGTGGAGATTGTTAGGTTTATGCGGGTCTTGCCACTATCTTTAATGCTCTGGAAATGTTGCGTGAAGGTTAAATGTCCATCAACTAGAACGCCCAAGATGCGTATCGTTTTTTCAGGGGGATCGGTTGATCCCCGATCTTGATAGAAGCGCCGCCGACTCGGTGACCGGAAGCGCAGACGTGACAGCGGATACTCTTTGCTGCTGAGAGTTGGAACCCGGCTGAGGCCGCCCATTTGGCAACTGCCGATACAGCTGCTTGTGCTTGGATGCGGGTCCTTGCGATGGTGCGAGCGGTGGCCACAATTAGCACGTCATCCGCGTAGACGAGAATGTGGATGTTGAGTGGCAAACGAGTAAAGATCCGGCTCATCGCTATTAGGAAAATCGTCACCGAGATAAGCGAGCCTTGCGGCACCCCTGTTTCTACCGGGAAAGAAGACTTGGTGTTCCCCACGGCGACTTTAAACGATCGTCTTGCCAGAAAGCCTCGGACAAAGGAAAGGATATTTCCCTTCAATCCCCAGATGATGAGCTATTGAAGTGTCCTTTCCTGCGTGTCCTTTAACAGTTCTCCCAGCGAAGCGAAAAACGTGGAGGTTCCCTTTTTCTGCCCGCACGCCGGTGGTCAAGGTATCCATTTTCCTCCAATGCAGCGCGAAGTCAATGATTGACCATGCGTTCCAGCACCTTGCTTGCGCAGCTGGTTAACGCAATCGGACGGAATTTATCGGTACCTCGTGTGGTGGCGTTGGCCTTTGGGATCGGGATAACCAAACTTTCTCGCCAAGCGGCTGGAAAGTCCCCAGTACGCCACACCTCGTTGTAAATGTCCAATAATTTGTGCTTTCCGCCGATAGGAAGATTTTTTAAAAGGTGATAACCTATTTCGTTTGGACCAGCCGAGTTGCCGGTGCTGTATCGCAATGCAAACTGCAGGTCCTCGAGGGGAAAGTCTTGGTTAGTTGGAGATTTGATGCTGTCTTGTGGAATTTCACCTTAAGACCACCAGCGAAGAGCCACAAACGAAGTGACAGACGGAGCGGCTCGAAAACTTTGGTGACTAACCTGCTATTGCAATTTTTCAGTGTACCACATGGCAACACCACTACTACTGGATTGTACCACATGGCAACACTACTACTTGATTGAACTAGCATTTTAACCGAATGTACTAGAATGTTTTGGTTCTATCTCTTTCACTCTACTCAAAACTGAAATGCATAAAAAAATGACAAAATGATACGCACTCTTTGCACACTGTCAAAGAATCATTGTACATAAAATCAACTTTGTTCAAATCAAAACAAAAAAACTAACCCATCTGGTGGATGATGGCACAAGCTTCCAAGAAAATTCTATTACAGTTAACCACATTATTTTAATGGATTTCTTCGCCAGTAAGTCGTCTGTCACTTCGTTTGTGGAAGAGCTTTTCGCCCGGGGGGAATGGCTAGTCGTGCCCCATCTAGGATTATGCTCGTGCATTCTGGAAAATCGGTAGGATTCTTTTGCTCTAATAGAATATTGACATAAATCTCAGAGGCCACCCAGTCTGCCTGGTCGTATCGCCATCTTGGACGCCGCGTCGTTACAGGTGTCCCAAAGTTCTCTGGATCTTACTGATGCTCTCAAAACTTCTCAAAATTTCACAGAAGTTCCAGAAATTTTCGAAGTCCGTGAAACTTTCCCAAATTTATCTAAACTTCTCTGAAGTTTTTGGAACTTCTCTAAATAAACGGAACATCCGTGAGTTTCTAAGTAGGGGAAATGACGGCTTCGGCATGACAGACTATTTTCGGCAACCCAAATTGAAACACTATTTTCACTGGATTTTCTTACGAAAACACTTCGCTGAATGCATGCAAACGATTCTTTATGCTTTCAGCTTCAATTTGACTATATTTTCCACTGAGAAAAAGCAATCTAGCAAGGTTTTCTTGAAATGCAACACACGCACTACAAATTGTAGCTGATTTCGAGTTGCCGATAATAGAACAGCAGATTTACATGCAGTTCAAATGGAACGGTTGCCGAAGAAAAACTGGTTGCCGACAATACTCGCTCTCACTAGAGAAGATTGGAGCTTTGTAAAAGCGTTTCAAAACAGTTTTTGACAATTCTTTCGACTGAAATTGTTAGAGCAGCTGGCAGCAAAAGATTGTAAACAAACCAATACTGCATATGTGTGCGTTCCTTAGAGAAAAAGGCTATAGAAAGAAGGTCGCTGCTTAGGTTGCCGAGAATACGTAAATTCCCCTACTTTCATTAAGTTCTTAAAATTTTCATAAAGTTGTTTTGCTGAACTTTCCAGGTGTTGGTTTGCAGACCTTGAAACTCATGCCCGCAGAGCATTGTAGCCACTTGAAACGTTTTTTTTTTGTAGATTGCGTCTCACAGCTCTAGGACCTAGATTTCCGATACATATTCATAGAATTTCTGGAAAGATATATTCGAAAACTCGAACTAATTGCGATTCATCGACATCTCTAAACTTCCTCAAAATCTTGCCTATTCGAAATAATTAACAACGACCTTTTTCAAATAACACTCTAGACACAAATGTAAATTTGCATTATCTTACCATCTCAATGGATTTTCCGAATGATTTTACGCGGAAAAGGACACCATAAAACAATTAATTAAACATTTCTCCAAATCGAGCAAATTGATACCCCTCGAAGCGTAATGAACAATCAACTGAGACGACGCTTAATTTTGATTTCACGCGGATCGCACCTGCAACAATGACCATGTTCCAGTGTTTAAAAAGATGGGGAAAATAATTAAAACTCAATTTCCATTAGGTAGTTAATAGTTGCCGTGCTGGCTGCCGTTTGTGGTGATCCCATTCTAATTTACGCTTTTCTGCTTCCCGTCCATTTCCAGCAATCGAAACATCGACGCCATCGACGGGAAAATGGCGACGGCGAAAGTCCCACCGGAGGAGGCGGCGGCGACGACGGTGAATTGGAAAATTTCATTGCACTAGCACCGGACGAAGCGGATATTTATAACTTTTCCAACAATCTCATCAACTCGGTGGATAATGCTGCTGGTGGTGGAGGCCGTGGCGGTGGATCCGAGAATGCAAATGAACTGAATCCGTTTAATGAATTTCTTAATCCTCGGCACTCGTCGCACCAGCAGCAGCAACAGCATCGACGGATGCAGGGAAAGCAACAGCTGCCGGAAGATCCTTGGGGTTTGGATCTGGACGAGCAGTTGCCACCCCCGGAGGAAGCTCAGCCAGAGGAGGAGGAGGCGGATAACGAGGTGGAAAAGAGCAAATATCTGCCGAGTGGTTCCAGTCTTGAGCCAGTGAACCGAAGCCAACAGCCGGCTGGTGGGAGTCCACTGATGGCAAGCAGTATCGATTTCCTCAACTCCATCGACGGTGGCTATCTGCTGTCGAACGGGATTATCGACGAGAAAGGCACCAAATTGATAGATGGTAAGTTTTGTCCCTTTTACTTGCTGCCTGGAGCGCAAGCGGAGAAAATTTTACTGTACATGTTTTCTTCTATGCTTTCTTTCCTTCTCTTCCTTGGCTGGATGCCGCTTTCGGTTAACAGATAGTGGCCTGTCGACGTTGAAACCGGATGGTACCGGAAATGATGACGGGGTTGACGGAGGTGGAGGGGAAGATGTAAGCGATGATGACATTTTCGAACAGATGCAGAAGAAAGCCAAATCCTATCGGTTGAAACTGTACAAGAAGCACAAAAACTTCAAGCACAGCCATCACCATCGAGGCGGATACTACCATCCGATGTATCAGCATCATCACCATCACTACTCTCGGCAAAAAATGCTCGAACGGGAACGTGATCGTTGGAAGCAAATACAAGAGCCACCGATGACCAAGGTAACCAACCAAGGCCAGGTTCGATACTATCAAAGCACCAACAAACTGGAGACAAAAGAAGACATTAAGGCACATCTCGATGGCCACTCCACCAGCCGCGAGCAGTGGCCCTATTTCGATAAGGTTATAAACTCCCTGAACAAGGACCAACAGCAGGACCACGTGCCACCGTTCATAAAGAAGTACAATCGTCGGACTCAGCAGTTGATTGATTTGTTGGAGGGAACCATTGCTCCGATGTCGGAGTACGGCCAACGTCATCACGAAAGGAAGTATAACCGAAGGAAAAATCCCCTGGAAGACCTGTTTGAAGAACAGCGCCCCAGCCCAAATAATCTTGGACTGCAGCGGAACTACATCCAGGAAACGATACAATCTTCAACCGCACACTCGAATTCACTTCCGGGCGAAGGAATCCACATCATCTACGACAAGAAGCACATGGATGATGGCCATGCCTACGGGCATCCGACAATGGCTGCCGATCATCCCTACAAACTTTCCTCCCGAGCTGGCCAGTTCGTTTACCACCGGGTGGCTTCCCCACAGCCCGTGGGAAACGGATACGGTCGCTTAAAGCGCCAGCGACTTCCATTCGTGGCGATAACCGATCGCCGCCTGGGATCCCCTCCGAAGCGTCGCCCCAACAACAGCATCTCCAGCAGCAGCAGCAACAGCAACTCCGGCAGCAACAATCTACTGAATCACCAACCGATGCCTTAAGCTAAGCACACACACACACACACACTCTGACACAAACATGAACACCACTCTATGAAATCTCGATGAAAACAAAAACACACAACACTCTCTGCGGTCCCGGCTCGGCGCCGGGATACGCGTTCAAGGCAGCTGCTCCTTTCTAGAAACCTCGCTTTCTAGAAAAGACACATACACTTTTCGTTTTGTGTTTCTTTCCATTGCTACGGCAATTTTCTTGCGAGATATAATGAAACTAAACTAATGACACAGCAGAAGAAAAAAAAACACTCACCCCCGGGAGCTGTCCTTCGCTTGTTGATTCGCCGCCACTGCCACCACCGTCACAAAAGCCACGCACTCGTCTCTGCCTATCGAACAGTGCTTGATTACACTCATCCACCTCGACGTGGCACTTCCGAAAATTGCCGATTGCAAAAGAAAATCTCCACAACAATAGGTACCTACAAGTGTCACTTTTCTTCCTCCTGGCACCAAAGCGAGATCGGATTCACTTTTCCTCCCTGCCCCTGCTGCGATCGACGAGACTTGCTTTGTTCGATTTGACGAGCGCCCTCTGACATAGACGCCGAGAAAAGTGGGTGGGTGGGGAGTGAGCGAGCGCATTCAATGAACTGGTATAACTGTTCGAAAAATAAATGCAGCGTTAAAACTGATGAGAGCCATAATGATTTCCGATTCGAGAGTTGTGCACTGTGCAGACGTGCAAGTAGGGAAGGGGAGGGTGTAGAAGCGAATGCGGTGTGGATAAATTGTTCGCTATTCTTCTGTCACTACAGGTGAAGCTTTGACTCGACAGCATTCTTCAGGCAGTAATCGGGCATTGTGTCGTTCTGATTGTGTGTGTGTATGAGTGAGTAATCGGAAGTTTCTGCTTCGCTTGCGAGATACAAGTATGACAGTGGTAGCTGCATGGGTGGAAGGGAATAAAGGAAGAATTGCGCTAAAAGGGAACAGTTCTGAAAATTCTTGTAATTTGTCATCGACGCGAGTGTCAGATTGTTTGTATTGTCGTTCAAGTTGGACACTGGAAAACCCACACGCGACATTCGATTTTACCCTCGTTCTGTACGTTAAACATAACGTCGGACATAGTGCGCTGAATAGCGCATCATTGTGCGAATACAGCGCACTATGTCCGACGTTATGTTTAACGTACAGAACGAGAGTAAATTCAATTGGCGGGTGTGGGATTTTCCGGTTTTCAACTGAAACGATAATATTACTTATGGATTTTCCAGCAATTTTCTAAAGGTACGACACATCTAAATCTCAATTCAAACATGCCTGAAAATCTGACGCTAGCGAATCAACCAACGAAAAATATTTGTTTCATTTTCATGCATCTGAATCTATCTTTTCGCGGGGAAATCTACAGAATCTTCAACGACAACAAAACAAAATATTCCCTGAAGTTTCGATAGTGTCGGCCCTCTCGGTATTTTCTAAATACATTACTGGGTTATCTTCAAAAAAAAATTCAAGCGAAATCTCATGGATTTTCATAATATTCGTTCTACAACTCTTCTCCAAGTTTCTTCTAGAATTGCTTCTGAAATATATTTTGGAAATTCTGAAGGCGTTTTCCAAGACAATTCCCTGATAATTCAAGTGCTTAACGAATTTCATCCGTAAAAGCTATGAATTTCCGCAAAATCTCTCGGAAACGATCTTTTAACATCTATCATTCATTTCCAGCTGGTCATCTGTCATTGCTCTTATAATTTTGGCATAATCTCTAGCTGGGCATTTGAAATTGAGAATCACTTGGAACGTTTGCAAGAACCAGTTGAGAATAGGCCTTTTTAATGCACCACCAACGTAAAGGGCAGCACGCGATTTCGAGAGGAAACGTCAACCAAACCGTTTGTTTACGTCAGAAGAAGGAAGTTTCACAACGTAAATTAAAGCATTTTTCATTGAACATCTTGCCAATTTGCATCAATAATTGTCTTATTTTAAGATTTTCCACAAATCTGAGCTGATTTGTACCTAAATTATGCACACACAAGAAATCCCGAGGGGGGCGACACATCTAAATCTCAATTCTAGATGCTCAAAAATTCTCACACTAGCGAATAAATCTTCGAAAATCTTCTTTCATTTGTCGCATCTACTTGCATCGCACATCATCTTTTTGCAGGAAATCTTCAAAATCGTGATAAATCTTCTTTCTATCTACTCAGCGTACGCGCAGCTAGCCACAGCAAAATACAATATTTCCTGCATCGTAGATAGAGTCGTCCCCCTCGAGAAATCCGGAAGATCATTACCACTAAGGCACTATTGGAATTTAGCATTTTCCTCAACAAAAATATTCCTGAACACTAAAGGGCGAACACGAAATTATTGCGACACCGAAAATGTCATGCCAATATTCTTATAATGTTTAGAATCAAACCAAAATTTTAGGGTAGTTTTATACATATATTTACTTCAAAAATCAAAAGAAAAGTTAATCGATGGAGCCTTGAGTGTAAAATTGAACGCATTTACGCTTGATGCCCTTCATCAAAGTCTTTACAGTGTCATCCGGTACCAGTTTCTAAGGTTTTTTTTTCCATTTTCTTAACATGTCCTTCTCGTCTTTGACTGTCTTCTTGCTCTTCCGAAGTTCCCGCTTCATTATTGCCCAGTACTGCTCCACCGGGCGCAGCTCCGGACAGTTTGGTGGATTCATGTCCTTTGGAACAAAATGGACAGAATTGGCCTCATACCACTCCAGGACACTTTTAGAATAGTGGCAGGATGCCAAATCTGGCCAAAATAGCGGAGCTTCGTCGTGCTGCTGCAAGAACGGCAAAAGGCGCTTCTCGAGGCACTCAGATTTGTAGATCTCGCCATTTACTGTGCCCTTTGTCACGAAAGGCTCACTCCTCAGTCCGCAAGAGCAGATGGCCTGCCAAATGAGATATTTGGAGGCGAACTTCGACATTTTCTTCTTCTTAAATTTGTCGTCCACATCGAACTTGCTCTTGCCGGTGAAAAACTCCACCCCCGGAATTTGCTTAAAATCGGCTTTTATATACGTTTCGTCGTCCATCACACAGCAGCCATATTTTGTCAGCATCTTCTCGTAGAGCTTCCGTGCCCGAGTTTTAGCCGTCGATTGTTGCCGCTCATCGCGGTTTGGGAAGTTCTGTACCTTGTATGTATGTAGTCCAGCTCTCTTCTTTGCATTCTGGACGTAGCTCTGCGACATGCCGATCTTTTTAGCCAAATCACGGCTTGAGACGTTGGGATTTGCTTTAATCATCCGCTTCACCTTTCCCTTCGTCTTTTTGTTCTCCGGTCCCGGTTTTCTTCCAGCTCCTTTGCCGTGGTCCAACGTCAACCGCTCCTGGAACACTCAACACTCTGGAGACGGTTGAATGGTGAATGATCAACATTTTTCCCAACTGCCGGTGCGACAGGTCAGGAAATTCCAGGTGTTTGGAAAGAATTTGTTCTCTCAACTCGCGTTGGTTCACCTCCATTTTCGTTGAATCGAAAAACACGACTTCGAGTTTGACAGCATGTACACAATACACATCAATGAGAAAGTGTGCAAAATTTGGTTGATTTTTACCCAATGGTAAAAAAGTTATGCCCTGTTGAATGTGTCGCAATAATTTCGTGTTCGCCCTTTAGCAGAATCCTTGAAAAAAATGATACAGAATTAAATTTTTAAGCTAGGGGAATTTACGTATTCTCGTCAGTCTAAGCAGCGTCCGAACTTCTATTAGCGATTTCTCAGCGTCACACACATACATGACAGGTTTGTTTGTTGACATTTATCTGCTGCTTGCTGTTCTACCCATTCCAATCGACAGAATTGATCAAAACGGGTTGAACATGTTTTTACAACGCTCCAAACTTCTCAGGTGAGTGTGACTATTGTCGGCAGTCTCTTTTTCTTCGGCACCCTTTCCATTTGAACTGCGTGTTAACCAGCTGTTCTATTATCGGCAACTCGAAATCAGCCGTATTTTGTAGTATGTATATTTCATTTAAAGAAAAATATGGTATAACAGGAATTCACAGTCGTAAAAATGTAATCAGATTGAAGCTGAAAAGGTAAGGAATCGGCTTAATACATTCAGCGAAGAGTTTTCATGGGAAAATACAGTGAAGTTAACGTTTCTATTTCGGTTGCCGAAAACAGTCAATGGGTGCCGAAGCCATAATTTACCCTATATATCAAGATTTAGAGCATCTCAGATGAACGAATTTATCAGGAAAAGTGAAAAAGTGTTGCACTTCCAATGTTTCACGGCTCTCTTTCTGCCCTCTCTGCTCACAACACTCGTTTTGACGTTCTCATATTCACCACCAGAGGTTGAATCGATCGCTTAGATTCTATTAAAAAGGCGTATTCCCCAAGGGCGATGCTACCATAGAGGTAACTCTAAGACCACTGGGTCCCGAAGAAAATCATTATTATTTTTGGCTCACTCAGTACCAGAACAACGGTCCCAAGCAGTCCCAAGCTATTTCACTCACCCCTGCATGTTCTGCATGAATCCACACACCCCTGATGTTATCTGTCAAACTTTCATAGCGAATCAAAACAAACATAGTGTAGTAATAGAATTTCAACTAGAATAGGGTACGTTAATCGTTTGCTTGGGACCAATAGGCTACTAAAGTGGTGAGCCAATTTAAAATCGTTAGTTTCGTATTGATTGTTGATGCTACTCTCCAACTGGCAAAAATCCAGCTTGATCTCCTTGTTTTCGCATAATTTATGAATGAACTCTCGGGATCTCCGGCCCAATCAGCGTCCGAATATACCGACTAACGGCTGGCTAGCATCTCCGCCCAGTTGTAGGTAGCTATCCCTCGTCGCTTTCAAGTAGTGCAATACGCGCTCAGCAGCGGTCCAATCCACCTCGCTCGATGCGGAGAACTTTCTTCCGAGAATCGCACAGCTGCAGTATCCGGTCGCTTTATGACTGACAGATACAGCAATCCACCCATCAAACTTCTGTACCTAGTCGCATCATCGAGTAACTAGTTTTCTGCGACTTCACCCGAGTCTATCGGTGGCTTTGCTGTCTTGGCTTGATCCATTCCATGTTTCATCACTAGCTTGTCAATGTACTGCTTCAACCGGATCTGGTACACTCAATTCTCGCGTTGTTGAAGTATCCGAATTTCATCCAGACAAATAATCTCAAACTCCTTGATCAGATCTTGGAAAATGCTCTTCAATTTCACTTCACCTGTCAACGAAAGCAATATCAGGCGTAACATTTGATAACGGCACAAAAGCTTTTGTAAACACGCGAACCGAAATACACTCTCCCCCCGAAGAGCGCGAGTAAAGGCCCAAACGCAATGTGGACGGAAACGGAACGGAAACGGAAAGTTTGACAGCTGCCGTTGCCGTTCCGCTTCCGCTATCATTGCGCTTGGGCCTTAATACGTACAGCGTGAATCGAATTCGCATAAATGGAGTACACGTAGCATATGGGATTTGACCTAATTGGGACCAACATGGAATATCTCGCGATACTGGACGTATAGAAGGTTACTGTCTTGGGCAAAGTTGTTCAATGGATCAAGACCTAAAGGTTGGTGGATAGAAGTTCGGAATTTTCTCACTACGCAGCGCTAGTTTGCATGAATTAATGATTTCCTTGTTTTTGTGATATCTTGAAATCCTTGTCATCTAGGAAGTTGCTATCTTGGGCGAAGTTGTTCATTGGATCAAAACCTTATCGTTGGAGGACATGTTTATGTCATATCCTGAAATTATTTCCATCTAGGAAAGTGTTGTCTTCGGCAAAGTTTTTCAGTGGACCAAGACCTCACGGTTGGTGGACAGAAGTTTGGAATTTATTTTTCACTACGCGGCGCTAGTGTACATATAATAGTGATTTCGTTGTTTTTGTCGATATCTTGAAATCCTTGCCATCTGGGAAGTTGCTTTCTTGGGCAAAGTTGTTTAGTGGATCATGACTTAATAGTTGGTGGACAGAAATTCGGTATTTTCTCACAAC